AAGGAAGGTAGTAAATAAATAAAAAACAACAAAAATTCAAACGCAAGGAACAAAGAAAAAAAAAACTTTTCCTGAAACAAATCCTTTCCCTTTCCTTTCCAAACCCCGTCACCTTGCGAAGTGCTCGCAGTGCTCCCCTCCGTATTGGCAGCCTTGAATAAAGCACTCGTACTCGTCCTCAAGGTCGTCGGAATCAGCCTTGCTTAAGGTATGCTGAGAGGAGTGCTGAAGAGAGTGCTGAAGAGAGTGCTGAGAGGAGTGCTGAGAGGAGTGCTGAGAAAATGGCTCGCTAGAGCTCGCGTAAGCTCTGCTTGCTTTGGCGGGAGGTCGTAAGCTCTTATTCTCAGGAAAAGGTTGAATGATCTCAGTTGCAAAAGCAATTGCTCGGCGAATATCAGCAATTGCGGCGGTAGAAGTGATTGCGGGGTTCATCCGCGCAATAGTCGTCTCTGGCACGTTTTTACAAGCTGAATACAGCTTGTCAGCGAGACTCTTATCGTCCCTCAGACCTGGACGGAGAGCTCTTTGCACTATTCTCAACTCCCTTTCGAGCTTTTCAAAGCATTCAGCTAACGAATTAGCTAGATTTTCCTTTCGAATCAATTCCAGTGAGATTTCCTCCCAACGGTCGTAATTAGCTTGCCGCCGTTGGTCAGTCTCAAAATGGTCCCTCACTGCAATAGCGTTTGCTTTAAAAGTAGGTAGCTGAGCTTTGATCACGTAGTTGTAATAAAACCCAATTGCTTCCCCGGCGAGCATAATCGAGAAAGCAGCTAAGTAATCATCGGTTGTCAACCCGTATCGGCACGCGTGATCGGCAAAAATCCTAAGCCGAGTATTGAAGTCGTTCTTAAGACCTGAATATTTCAATTCCTTAAGAAAACTCCTTGCAAATAGAGCTAATTCCTTCGCCCTCGGGTGTGGGTTTGCTGTTCCGAGCTCAAGGAAGTCATCTCCGTCGTCAAGGTCGCCTGGGGTGCCGTACGCAGGTGTGCTGTGCCTGGCTAGTACTCGGGTCGAAAAAAGGTTGCTAGTAAGGGGTCGGTTTGGCCCAGGTCCGCCGGAGGGCTCGTATCCTCGTCCAGGGTCCCTTGGCGGCTCATTTTCTTGTCCCCTTATCGGGCCACCGTGTCCTCCTCCTCTTCCTCCGTGCCCATTCCACTCGCTTCCCCCTCTATTCCCTCCTTCTGGATCACCGTCCGAGCTATCTGGATCGCTAGGGTCGCTAGCAGGATCTTGCTCTCTTTTCTGCTCGTATCCTTAGGCTCGGCCTTGGCGGTATCCATTGCCCTGGTCTTGCTGCGAACCAAATCGAAGATCCTCACGTTGTCCTTGGTAAGAGTAAAATTTGCCCGGAATCTCTTTAACTTTAGGAGGCTCGTCGTACTCTCTGGCGTCAACTTTAGGAGGCTCGTCGTATTCTCTGGCGTGTTCCTTCGGTGACAAAATCGCTGGCTGGAGTAGTAAAGGAACGGGAGAAGGAAGTGAATCGCGAGAACTTCGCTTTGATGACGATTGCCTTGCTGCCTTAGCTGCCTCGAGCTCCTCTTTATGCCTTGTAGCCTCCTCGATTCTCTCTTTACGCTGTTGCACGTCCCTCGTAATTGTCAAATTGCGTAGATCATCGAGGTCTCGCGCAATAGCGTCTTTTTGGCGTCGGAGCTCTTCGTATTCTTCTCGGAGTGATTGGCGAAGCGAATTTGGAGTTGGAGGTGGAGGTGAAAGTAGAGGTTCGTCGATAATTTTAGTGAGACGAATAAGGCCTGATTGATTAGGAAACCTTTCGACCTGCTTCCCTTGGATTTTAGCGACTTCCTCAGTTTGTCGATTAAGGCGTGCAATAGTAATATCGTTCCACCTAGAATCAAATCCCTCGATTGATTGCTCTCGCTGTTCTTCCCAGGTCCATTGGTGCTCCTTCTCTATTTGGATGATTGAGGCTAGTCCATTGGCGTAGCCTTTTTGCCTTGGGAGGCACCAAACTCCCTTAGACATTAAGTGATCCCTTAGCCTAATAAGCAGCGTAAACTTATTCCCTCGGCCGTGTGCTTGTTTGGCGGCCAAAAAGAACTCGTCCGCGCCCCATCTAGCAAACGCGTGTCGGAATAAAGACCAAAGCTCGTGGTCTCTTAATCCTTTACTCTTTATGTCCAGGAAGTCCTCGATAATTAATCTAGCCCTTGTGTGACTCTCTGGCTTCGAATACGGTAGTGAATCGAGGTCAAAATCGAGGTCCGACGCGTCTTCGTTTGGTTCGTCGAGGGTAGTTTGAGTGCCTGGGTCGTTCGGTAACATTGAGGGAGGTTCCGCGGGTCTCGAAAAGGGGTCCGTAGCTCTTGCTGACGTTCCAGAAGCTCCTTGTCTGCCTCGAAGATCGATTGACTGCATGTTGTTGTATTGCTGTGTGTAGCTAGCGTGGCTCTACAGCGTTGATAGTATTGTTGTATTGCTGTGTGTAGCTAGCGTGGCTCTACAGCGTTGATAAGTTGTATATAAAAGTGACTTGATTCGGAATCACTTTT